GCATAAGCACTAGCATCAGAAAACATGATAATTTTAGGGACATCGTATGTAGCCAAATACCTAACATTCAAAGTACACACGTGATCACGCCAATACACCAACTCGTTAATGAATGGAGCACTGTTGACCTTGACCTTACCGTCCCAGGATGATGACCTCGCTATGAACACCATTGATTGTCTTGTCATCAGACAACAGAGATTACCTATCACGGGCTTAAATGACATTACTAACCCTGTAACCTTTGCTGACTGTCTAGATGAAATAATTGGTAAGGTGTCTAAAAGAGCATCGATACTAGTAACAAGTTTACTTACTCTAGTGTCGGGGACCGAGATACTAAAACTCGACGAATTCCAAATAAGACCCAACCACAAAATATTTTGACATGGGACCACACAGATTTTTCTGTATTGACAAGAAAACCCGCGCGATAGAGTGTGTCCCTAACAAAATCACTGTTCTTCTGACATGTTACTTCCTAAGAACTACAACCTAGACCGTCATCTATGTATAGAACTATGTTAATACCATTCAACCTCCAGTGTTTAACAAGGGCCCTAAGGAGCTTCGTGAAAATGTACGGAGCTGACGATAATCCGAAAGGCAATACACTAAAACAATAAAACTTACCATCCCAGGAAAACCCGAGAAAGGATTGTTGACCACAAGAAATATCTATATGGTGATACCCGGATTTAAGGTCAAATTTAAACATATAGGAATCACGATCAAAAAATTCTAATGCAACGTTCCAATCCTCCAATTTTATCTTCTCTTTCCAAACAAAAAGATTGACCCTTCTGAGATCCAAAATCAACCTTTTCTTGCCAGAACTGCTGTAAGCAACGCTTAAAGGATTGACTACGTGAGGAAGAAATGGGACTTGTACAACACACTTATTATTAACCAGATCTGCAATAGCTTGCGTGACAAACTCAGCCTCTCTTCCCGAGACATGTTATTTTTAGAAAAGGTTTTTGGAGGGGTCGAAATGAAAGGTATTACATAACCGTACTTAAGCATTTCTACTATAAATTCTGAAGCACCTATATCTCTCCAAAACTGAACGTGACTTTTTAATCTACCCTTAACAGACGTAACCGGACGATTGTCCTGATATTCAAAAAACTGTTTATGAGAGCTCAGTTCGTCTAAATCAAACAACGAGGGAGAAGTATATGTATACTTATCATGAATCTCGTCACTTCGGTCCGTTTGTCTGCTGCTGTGGCTGTCGAGATCCTCCCTGTCTGAATTTCCCACAGTCCCTCCTCCAATGACCGAATCCCCCACATGAGAAACACTGGTCCGAAGGGGCGGTGCTGCGCGGGGCAGTGACTCCGTAGTTATAGGGTCCTCCACGAAAAGGCGCAGACCCCGCGGCTGCGGGGGGAGAGGCGTAACGTGTAGCTGTATTACCACTGTTGTTAAAAACAGCCGAAGAACTACGTTTACTAGAACCATGTTTAAGTTTTATACTCCTCAATGCCCTCTGTTCCGCCTGTCTAATACGTTTCTCGTCCTCACTGTCAGAAGCGAGATCGTCGGACACGTATTCCTTCACAGTTTGCCAGCCGGCGGGCGACTTGTCAGCAAGTCGTATCAACTTGTTTCTCTTATACAATGTAA